CTTCTGGAATAGTCTCCAGAAGGCCAGTTATTTGAGTTCTTGAGGCACTGCAGGCACAGCCAAACCCTGTCCCTCACTGCCCCCTTTTCCCTTCTCATGACCCCACTGACATTACTTTCTTTTTTAAAAAAAAAAAAAGTCTTTATTGATTTCAGAGAGAGGAAGGGAGAGGGAGAGAGAAACATCAATGATGAGAGAGTCATTGATCGGCTGCCTCCTGCATGGCCCCTACTGGAGATGGAGCCTGCAACCCACATGTGCCCTGACTGGGAATCGAACCGCGATCTCCTGGATCATAGATTGATGCTCAACCGCTGAGCCACACCAGTTTGGCCCCACTGACATTTCATTTCCCTCCCACCCTCTGTGCCTCTTGGGAGGGGCTGGGGTCCCTGATGACAGCCCTCTGCATAAAATCCCACCTGTCCCCCACCCACAGACATTGTCTCCACCCTGAGCCTTCTGAACAGCTCCGAGAACGCCCAGCTGCTCAGCTCCCGGGAGCTGCCCAGGGACTGTGTCCGGTGTGCCGTGGTGGGTAATGGAGGCATTCTGAATGGTTCCCGTCAGGGCCTGAACATCGATGCCCATGACTATGTGTTCAGGTATTCGGAGCAGGGGCAGGGAGGAGTGGGAGGCCAGCTGGTCCCAGCTAGCCTGGTGGGAGCATCTTCCATGGCGTTGGCTGCGGCAACAGCCAGCAGCGGTCCCTGGCAGCTCTGCAGTTAACAGGCAGACAGGCATGGGCATAGGCATGTACAGGCAGGCATGCCACAGGGACCTGGGAGGAAGGAACCATCAGGCCAGATGTGCCCATTTCACAGGGCTCCCCCTGAGGCCTGGAGGAGTGGGGATAGGAATGGCAAGGTGCTGGTGCTGCTGTGAGCAAAGGGCATGGTCCATAGAGGCATGGGGACAGGCCTGGTGGAGCCCTGGGGATGAAAGTTCCACACACAGCATGGTGGAACTGCCAGGAGGCTCATGGACCTCTGTTCGGACCAGACTCAATGGTGCTGTGACCAGAGGCTTCGAGGCAGACGTGGGCACCAAGACCTCCTTCTATGGCTTCACCGTGAACACGATGAAGAACTCGCTCATTGCCTACAATACACAGGGCTTCACCTCCGTGCCACAAGGACAGGTGAGGCCTCAGATGACGCCACTGTTCCTGGAGCCCTCTCCATGGGGGAGCCACAAGGTTGGGGAGCCCTGGTCTAGTGGATACACAACTATGCAGGGATCCTGGGTGCAGGGATGGAGCTCCTGAGGAGGAAGGTCTGGGCAGGGATGCCCCACTGTTCCAGGCAGCACCACACAACTTCGGACTGGAGTGTAAACGGCTAATATTTAGTGAGGGCATATGGGGTGCCAGGCAATCTCTGTGTCAGCCCCCCTGTACTGGTGAGGAGGCTAAGGCTCCGTGCCTTCAGTGCCTGGCAAAGCCGCAGCAGGGCTGGGGTTCAAACCCAGACTCCCATCCCAGAGCTACGCAGGGGAACAGCATTTACTGGCTGTGTCCTCTTTTCCCAGCACTGGCCCACACAGCAGCCCATCTCCAGGTGGCAACTGTCCTAGGCCACCACCCAGCTAGAATCTTCAAAAGCTCAGCCCACCTGGCTGCATACCTGGGGTTGTTTCCAGTCTCCTATGCTGCCCTCAAGAATAGTGTGTGTGCCTCCTGAATTCTCCCAGCAGCCTGTGCAGGAAGCTGAGATTCATGAGACCAAGGGATATGCCCAGTCATGGCTGGGTTGGGAGCATCTGCAACCTCCAGCTTCCTTCAACCACACTCAGTTTCTATAACAACACACTTCCCCTCAAGAAGGTCTGGGTGCCCTGTGCAGGGTTAGGGAGATCCCAGGATAAGGGGTTCCGTGATGCTCAGTAGGGCTGGGTTGGGTTTCTAGAAGTTTCCTTCTTTGAAAAGGAAACTAAGGGGTGTCCTAGCAACAGTGTCTACGCACTGAAGCCTCCCAGTAGAACCTCTTGGCTCATGATAGAACACAATGGGGCAGCTTCATTTCTGGTGTGGCCAACACCTGTATGAGTTATCAATGCTGCGTAACAAAATACCCCCAAACTTTCTCACTTTAAACAACACACATTTATGATCTTACAGTTTCAGTGGGTCAGGAATTCAGAAGCAGCTTAGCAGAGTGGTTTTTGGCTCAGGGTCACTCAGGTGGCTGCAGTCATCACAAGGCCCTTGTCCCATGGGCCCCTCTATGGGCTACTAGGGTCTCCTCATGACATGGTAGCTGACTTCACGCAGAGTGAGTGACCCCAGGGAGCAAGGAGGCGAAGTGCCTTCTATGGCCTGGTCTCCAGAGTCAGGCATCAATCACTTCAGCTGTTTTCCCATTCATTAGAAAAACTAGATTCTTAGTCATACCTCTGGCCTGTACTCAAGCAGATGGCACGTAAGCTCCACCTCTGGAGCGGAGAGCACCAAAGAACTTGTGAGCGTGGACTGGAGCCACCACAGTACCCGAGAACGTACAGGCACATAAGTGAAATTCGCCCATCAGGACAGTGGCAGGACTGGGTGGAAGGCTGTCCCTTCCCAGCAGGAGCTAGACGTGGGCTTTCTCACCCGGGTTCAGTGTGTCTGTTGCCCCAACAGGACCTGCGTTACATCTTCATTCCCTCGGACCTCCGCGACTATGTGATGCTGAGATCGGCCATTCTGGGGGTGCCTGTCTACAAGGGCAAGGACGCAGGAGACAGGTGAGCAGCCAAGCAGCAGCAGGGTGTGGTGATGCTGTGGCTATTGCCTCTTGCTCCCAAGACCCACTGTTGGGTAGGGAAGGTTGGCGAGAGCAGCAAGCAAATCCCCGAGCACTCAAGAGCTTTGGGGAATGATGCTCCTTTCCTCCGGGAAGGCCCAGGGACCCTCCTGGGCAGGTTGGCTGGAGGCTCCAGGGTCTGATTTCTGAACAGAGCAGGCAGGCTTGGCTTCTCAGCTTGACTGCTGTCCCCAAAACCAACCCCCGCACCTGGCGGCAGCACTCTCGGGGCCTGTCCACAGCTGGGTCTGCTCACCTGTTGAGTACATGCAGTCTGGAAAGTAAGAGTATAGGGCCAGGCTCCACACCGCTCCTCCTGGCGGGCACCTCCCAAGACTGTGCCCATGAAACGGGAGAGTGGGCCATGTGGCCAAGTGTCCTGTGCAGTGGGAACAAAGGGCACTCTGTCTGGTCTCCCACCTTCCTGGGCAGCAGGCCTTGTCTCAGCCCTTGAAGCACGTCCTGGCCCTCAGCCGAACCCTCTCCCAGGGCTGCAGAGACAGTGTTTCCCCCGACTCAGGTCCTTAGAGATCTACGCCACACCTGGGCACACACTGACCAGCCCTCCTGTCTCAGTTTCAATGCCGCCAGCCAGCCCTTAGAAGCTGTTTCTAAGGGGGTCATTGGGGACTAACCCCTCCAAAGCCAGGCCAGCACCCACAGGCAGGCCCTGTGCCCCGCCCTGTGATTACCCAACAATTGCTCACAATGCTGCAGCTGGTCATGAGGGTGGATTCTGTGACATGGGCGGGGACTGGGCTCCTGGGGAGGCTGCCTCAGAGACATCGGGTGCACCCAGGCCTCCCCAATACCAATGAGCTCCCCCTCCCATACCCCTAATCTGTCCCCTACCCAGTCCCCTTCCCAGTCCCGGACCAACCACAACAGCAGCCCTGCCAACCAGCAGCCCAACTCCAGCTCAGGCGGCTCTGCCCGTTCCCCAACCCCATCCCCCACCCGGGGAGGATCTTCCTCCCGCCC